TTACTGGCAAATATGAGATTGAATGAAAATGATGGAACACATAAGGCATCATGAAGAAACAAATGATCTGTGACTCTAACATTTCCTATGTGAGTCGCAACTGTTATGTCTCCATTAGATAGGCTAATGGACCGATTGATTTCAAACTTGATGTCTGTGAGAAATGAAGTTGAGCAAACCATGTGGTCAGTGGCTCCGGTATCTATGATCCAAGGTACTGATGAAGTGACACTAATCTTATCATGGTGAGCAGATAAACACATATAAGTACCAGAAATTTTGGGTGCATCTATGTGTTTGGTGGAAGAAAAACTTAGAACATGGCTGGCAAAAAGCGAGTGAGATTGACTGGTTGGTGGTCTGAGCAGAGCCATTAATTGAGTGTATTGCTCTTGAGTTAAGTAACTTGGTTTCTGTCACCAGCTTGCTCCTCTATCTTTTCTGTTCCGACGAGCATCTTTTGATATGAAAGCACCATCATTTTTTGTTTGATATTTATGAGAGATTAATTGCTGGCTGTGATTTGCAGTGGGTGGACAATATCTGGAGGAATGAAGGTGGTAGTTAACTATCTTATATTTTTGAGAATGGTGGCCTGAAAAGTCAAAATCAATGTGATGGAGCTGAATATATTTTGATTGAAAGCCAAAATCAGTGTAATGACACCACCATGAATTAGAGGCTCGAAGTTGTGACCCTGAAAATTTTACATTTGATTTGGTCCTGGTCTTCAGCCTACTTCAATTGGTAAAGTACATAATCAGTATTTTTTTTAATTTTTGGTACTATCTATGTTATTGTTCAACCAAGGGTAAATTAAGACATGCTATGCTGCATTCTGCAAGTATTTCACCACTTCTAGCAGAGCCTGGATTAAGTTCATATTTATACTTTCATATAATACGTTGTCTGTCGTACTGAGTTACTGAATTTTTATCCAATTGAGGCTCTTATGACGTTTAGAGCTCTGTAGATGAGGAAATCTTTATAAAAATTAATTATTCTTATATCAGTTGTATTCTTTTAGTGTGTTAACTTGGTTGATGTGATGAATACCTAAAAATTTCCTTTCTAACATTGAAAATAATTTAGAATTTTCCAATTTTATTTTGTTTTAGTTTAGGATTTTGTTTGGACAAGATTTGATAGGCTTCCGTAGTTTGTTAAGCATGTGATGTTAGAAATCTTTTTGAATTTAAGTTTCTTAAATCTATCCAAGTGCAGCAGGTGATACATTTATATGGAAAATTTTCCTCCTAGGTAAATTGTTCTCCTCTCTTCTTCCATTTCCTTTGCCTCTTCTAATCTCTCTCTCTCTCATTCCCTATGCGCTGTACATCATGATTTTTCTCAAGTTAAGGGGGTATCGGGAAGCAGCTGAGAAATAACCACTGTGTACTAGTGTAGGCCCCAAAACCGTTTTATCTTGGGTAAGAACTGTGATTCCTGGATTTGTGTGGTAAAAAGTGAACTTTTCACTATATGAGGTATTCTCTGCCAAGTATATACACAGGTTGATATATAGTTTGGCTGAATGAGAGTTTTAATAAGCTTTGAAGCAACTTCGAATGGATGAAACTCAAAAAATTGTAAAGATTTTACAGATCTGCACAGGATTGGCAGTTGATTCGTGTCTTTATTATGAGCTGCTTACAAAAACATAAAAGGAAGATGAATGAAAAGGAGATTTTCCACGTTCATGAGATGACTGGTGGCGTGCCCTAGTGATTAAGCTTAATTAGGGTCTTCTATATCTTGCTTGAGCTTAGTCTAAAAACCAGATTAATTGAAGAATTCAAAAGAGCTTAAATTCTCATTTCAGCTAGCAATATTTATACACAGATGACCTATACATACAATAAGGGAATATGCTTAATTGAACGGTAATACACAGGTGGCATAACAACCAAACATTTCACTCCTGAAAATCAGCATGTGTCCTGCTCCTTCAGTGGATTCTGTTATGTGGTGCTAGCTTTTTCTCGTGATTGATTTATTCCAACAAGCTTTTGTGATAATATCTTGGTTTTTGTTCTAGTCTAGTTTATCTGAAATAAAGAATTAACTTTCTTGTTCAGAAATGCAATGCTTGGGCTCTGTGTTTCTGCTTTACAAATGATGATTTTTATTTGCATAGAGCTGAAATCTCATCGTCCTATGTGTGAAATAACGAAATCTAGCCATGTTTTAAAAAAAAAAAAATCATTGTAGTTTATTTATTGATACATTCACATGTATTTGTGCAGGCCGTTGACAGTCGATTAGGAGTATTTAAGTAGCATCATAAAGCCTCAAATGTAAGAGAGATATTTGATCTCCAGTATGCTAGATTCTCCTCTAAGATGTCCTAAGGTTTCGATTGCTTATAGTTATGCATCTGAATTGGGGAAGTTGCCACTTTGACCTTGCATGGAAGGGAGCCATTACAGGAGTTTCTGAAGCAAGTTTTTTGCTCATATTGGTCACGGGACAGGACAAGCAACCAAATGTTGCTGAAGCAATTTCCGTCCACTGTGTCTGCTTATGCCAGAGAAATGGGAAGTTGAAAATCAAATTGTCTAGTTTTGTAGGTTGGGTTCAAAATTGCTACAAACGCTATAGATTGAGAACCAAAGTATTAATTTTTGCTGTAATTTTTGGGGCTTCTTCATTTATTCTAGTGAAAATTACATGGAATACTTTTAATTTCCTACAAATTCCAGTTTTACGACTCATATTATTTTATTCCAAAAGTATGGATCCAAAGTTAAAATGTTCAAAGGTCAGTAGATTCCCTCCCTTCACTTCACCGTCAGAAAAAATAAAATATAAAAATAGTAAATACCCTTTGAAGCACATTAGGTATGAAGACGGCCGAAGAATAGATGAGATGCTGTTGCGACACTTTCTTCGAGGTTGTAAATTCTGGAGAACGGATTTTGTTGGTCATTCCAATAGAGATCGACATTAAACATGTCGACACATTTTTGACTTATTTTTATGTGTTGACGTGCTTTAACAATTATTAGAGTTTCTATTCTATAAGATGGAGCTTCAAATCATTCTTCTTTGATAAAAAATGTTGCAAACATGTTTCTTCCATTCTTTGGTGTGCCTGTATGCCTTGTGTCAAGTACCACCTCGTCGTTCAACATCAAATTCTATGACAATCATCTAAAAGATTGGAGTCATGCTATTTGTATAACCTTGGTTGACAACCACTCACATGAATGGTTCACTTTTTTTTTTGTTTTTTTTTAATTTTTTAAACATGCGAACCCCGCACACATGTGAGAGGTTGTCAACCTCGGTTGTATAAATAGAACTTTCCAAAAGATTGACCAAAAAAGATAGAATAAAATTGAAGAAAAGAAATGCTTTCATATAGTTGTTAAATCATTTGTCCATTGCATGATAGCACTGTGGTGAAGACTGACTGCCTCATTTTTCAACAATACACTAATCGTTATGTATTTGTATGTAAGAATTTTAGTTTTGAGTCCAACCTAAGGAGAGAGATTAACGGAGACTGCGTTTAAAATTTTTCTCAAATCCACAAATTTTGGTTTTTCTGAAAAAAAATCTGCTGATTAGGTTGGATTTGGAATCAACATATAATTTCTCTTCAAAGTATACGCTTTTCTAAATTTCCATCTTGTTTACTTTTGTTTTCAATTACCTAAAAGCATTTTACAATTGGGATTCCCTCTCTCCGTCTCTCTCTACTCATGAAAGGCCCTAGTTTTCACATAACACACTGAATCTTATTTTTGATAAATGTGAAGTCCCAAAATCTTATAACAATTCTTTTCNTACTCATGAAAGGCACTAGTTTTCGCATAACAAACTGAATCTTATTTTTGATAAATGTGAAGTCCCAAAATCTTATAACAATTCTTTTCGATCCGACTCTTAAATCCACAAGACAACCTTTACTACTATACATAGATAGGGAAAGAAATGAACCACTCCCAAAATTGGTATCACTAGGGTCCAAAACCACATTTTGAAGCATAACTAGGGGTGTAAGCGGTCGGGTTTTACTGGTTTTTGACAAATTTTCAAACCAAATCGTTTCAACCGGTTTGAGAAAAACTCAAACCAAAACCAAATCGTTTTGACCGATTTGAAAAAAATTCAAACCTAAACCAAACGGTTTGGTCTGATTTTAAACCGCCGGTTTGGCATATATTTTTTTGCCTGTTTAGCGTCTACTTTTATGTCATTAATTTAATATATATTTATATCTTACGGCAA